TCCTAATCTTTTTTTTACATAAATGAAACAATTGGTTATAAGAACTGATTAAAATGAATCAGGAATTTTTAGAAATCGTTTTGTTGACGTTTACCGAATCTTTGAATATTAAATTCTTAGCTTGCAAATATACTATTGTAAAATATAAATTTGCAAAATTAGTCTATAGAAACAACATATCAAAATCGTTTCGCTTCTCTTTAATATTTTTTCAAGTCTTTTGTTTAATTTCTATGGTGAATGATAAGTTGTATTCTCCCACTTATTATTCCCATTTTTATTCCTATGAATGCTTATTATTACTTGTTATTACTTGACTTATTATTACTTGTCACTCCTATCACGAACATTATCCTGTATACATAAAGACAACAATTTAATGAGTGTCAAGCGAACATTGCAATTACCCTGAACCCTGGAGAGAGATAGATAAATAAATAAATAGAAAGAGAGAGAGAGAGAGAGAGAGAGAGAGAGAGAGAGAGAGAGAGCGCTTGCGTGATTATGAGCGGATTATTTCTGATAGGAGCCGAGAGAGATCTGCAATGTCGCGTCGATCCGTCGCATCGTAACGTCCTTCGACGTTGGAACCATCCGTGGCATCCAGGCAACGCTACGGCCGATACACGTCGAAGAGAATTCAAGACGGCTGACGAAGTCACATCGGATTACACCGAAACTACGCGCGACGCGCGACGCCGCGCCACAACGCGAAAGGACAACGGAACGTTGGCTGCCGAGGCAGCCTGTTAACTCTCTCGAAGCACATACTTTTCATTACGCTCGATTTTCTCAAGCAAACCTTTCTCCGAGTTTTCTCGTTGCATTGGTTCAGAATTTCTGAGAAATTTTGAAATTCTGAGTTATAAATTAGGAAAGCAACCGATTATTTTAAGTTTTTTTCTAAGTTAAGTTTTCCTTTCTAAAAAAATAAAGTAATCAAGCAAGAAAAATCATTAAATATTTAATAAGAACAACAAAATTTCCCAAAATTTTAGTAAAAATTCCTGAGTTTTTCTGCACGATTTTCGTTTTGTGAGTAGTATTAGGAAAAAGCATATTAAAAAAAAAAAATACTCCAACTTTTTAAGAACTTCTGGAATTTTTACTTTTTCTGATCTTCCATTTACTAACAAAAATCTACTGATCTTTTTCATTTATGCTTTTAAGTTTTTAAAGATGCTAGAAAATTGATTCGAAAAACAAAAATCCAAGAGTAGAGAGGCGGGATGCTTAAAGGGTTAAGACATAGTTCCGGTGATGCTCCCGTAAAAGTGGGCGAGGCATTGCCCTCCCGTGAACTTTGGCAGATGTAGGTATCCTAGCTAGCCGAATCCTGAAAGGAGGCGAGAGTGACCCGTTTTGCATCTCGCTCCTCGGGGTTCGTACTCTTTGCACCTCGTGATTCTCCTACTCTCTCCTCCTTTCGACCCTGGCGAGACGAGTACATCCGAAGCCATGCCGAGCTTCCACGACGTGGTGCAAAAGGGAGGACTACCCCGTGCTTGCGTGCTTGCTTGCTTGCGCGCGCGCGCACTTGTCATCATGTTTACGTACGTGTATATGTGTTATTCGTGTTTACGTATGCATATGTACGCGTGCGTGCATGGAGTGTATAGTATGCGAGAATGCGGGAGCTTCGGGTATGTACTGCCGGATGCTGCGACAGCGAATGAGAAATGAAGTCCGAGCCACCGCTTCTCACCGGGTTGCTTGCGACCGGGGACGCAAAGTGACGTAAAGGGAGCGTCTTTACATTCCGCGACGAATGTACATGACATCGTCCACGGGTGGGGATGAAACCCCGCACTCTCATCTCGGGGATTTTCTAACGTTGTTCGATAATAACCGCTTTTAACGATAATTGGCCTTGTCTCTTCTGACAAGAGGTACCGGAGTCGCGGAACTGTGCGAATGGGATTTTAATAAAAGTCCTTGTCGCGAATGTAGGTGCTGTGATGGCTATATATATTGGCAGCGTTAGTTTTCTTTCCGAAGCGATTCTCATTAACGATGCCCGATAATGCGCTTCGATGCATTTTTGTGTAATAATTTTTCAGAGCGGGACTTTAGAGAAGAATTATTACCAACTTTTCTCTGAATTTTTAATCTTAAAACCGATTAGCAATCAACTGAGTTATAAATTGTAAACTGATCAATATCTTTTAATTTCTATTGAAACAGAATCTTCTCCAATAAAATTGCACATAATGAAACCTTGTATCTCCTTTTCTCATTTTCAAGAATCTTTATATTAATATATTAAATCTATATATATAT